TACGGGTTTGGAATGACATGAGGGTGAGTAATTAATGACAGAATTCTAATTTGTGGATGACCTAACCCTTTAAGGAGAAATAAAGCATAAAATTTATTGAGCACATTTTTATGAGTATTTGCTACATCACACAAAGAGGCAATGAATGTGTGCAGTTGTTATTTTATCTTTGTTTTCCTGGAAAGAAAACAAGTACCGATCATATCTACTCATCAGATGACGAAGCAGCAGAACAACCACCCATTAAAAAAAAGAAAAGCTGCAAACAAAGCAAGTGTTCCAGCTGCACCAAAACCTCCAGCAATTCCAAAACGCAACAAAAAAGGTAATGGAAAAAAAAAAGAAAAAGAATGCTATGAATAAAAGTACACATTCCGTGTCGACTCAACCAGAGGTTGAAAGTAACATTTTTTTTCCCCTGTTGAAATAAATAAATGAAGATCATGGATTTATATCTACTGTGTAATCCATGATTTTGTAGAGGGGGGTCAAAATGAAGATTTATCAGCCAAATTACAAGGGAATTAGAAAGATGGCAGCATTGTTATTTTATTTTTACATAAAGATTGGTAGCTCTATTAGTAAAATCTGCTGACTTCAGCAATCTTTGCTGCATGTGTCAAAAAAACAACAACAATAATCTGTGACATTCAATATTTTGGTTTTCTTTCTTCAGAAAAAAATATTGAAAATATAAAATTTGATTCAGGGAAGTTTCTGGAATTTGGTTGATCTGACACAGAATGACCTAGTATGAAATAAGTAAGATTAAAGTTGCATAACAACCAGAACACAAAAAGTGACATTTCTATTATCAGGTCCTGTTGTGCAACCTCAGGTTTCGCAGAGCAGAGCTGTAAACCCTCTAAGCAACTGTAAGTCTGAACTTTCTATTTGATCTTAATTTCATTTTTATATCCAAATCTACAATGTTTACTAAAAGTTACAACTATGCAATTGTTGAAGCATACAGCTGCCCGACTGCTACTGTGTTTGGTCCTATTTTGTGTGAATAAATTCAAGGAATACCAGTGTACCCTTTAAAGATGATTTTTAATTTTTGCAAATGGCATGCCACTAATGATCCCCCCAATTGTCAACAGCATTTGTCAATCAGCAACAAAGGGACATGGAAGACCAACAGCAGAACTGGTGTGAGAGTCTCCCCAGCTTTCAAGGTAAATAATTAGTTGTATTTGGCTAGCTGGAAAGCTAAATAAAGATCAACATTTGATGCACTTAACAGGTTAGTTCATTCATAGAAACCTCTGTGAATTACTCATGCCATTCTAAACCCACAAACTTTATTTTCAAAACACAAATGAAGATGTCTTCAATGAACACAGGGATTTCTGTTCCTACATTTCCATAGTCCATACAGAGATTGTAGAAGTAACCGATACAATATGAGTGGTATAATTCCAATCTTCTGAGGAGTCATAATTGCTTTATATGATAAACACTAGGGATGCTCCGATCGATCGCCGATAATCACATTTTATGATTTGATCGGTACACACTAACTTGGCCGATCTCACGAACCGATCGTAATTTGATGACGTCAACGCGTGATGACGTACATGATGCGTGGGGA